ACCAGCAGCCGAGGCGGGTCAAGTGTTTTTCCCAAGAACACGACAGCAGAGGTGGATGGAGTTGGAATTGAACCGGCGACCCACTGACTCCTACCAACTCCTACCACCTTCATGACAAAAAACACCCCAAAACAATAAAACATTTAAAATGGACAAATGCCGTTTAGCTCTGTGGGGGATAAGTAAATCCTGGCGGCCTGCCAGGCTGATAATACACTGGAGAAACCCTGGAAGCCATTTTGAAGGTTTTGTGACTCCAGTAAACCACAGTCCCAACTAAAAAAGTTGGAAGAGTGAACCTTCCCAGAAATGACTGGCCGGTTTTAGGTTTAGGGTTTGTCCCTTGGTTTACATAGTGCCTGGTTGGTTTGAATAGCTGGTTTCTCTTCTATAAAACCTTTATTTGAATTCAACTCAGGCCGACTCCTTATCTACTGGTAACTGGACCAGAGGAAGAGGAACCTCTCTGTACAACACATTTAAGTGTGAAAGCAAAACTGTATTAACTTAGTAAGGAGGTGAAAGGTTTTTCTCAGCCTCTCCTACGGTGGCCTGTTTTGTCCATTTTCCCTTTGGTCCTGATGAACCAACATGAACTCAGGTTCTTGTGAACTCTTCCTGTTTCTCTGCTGAATGATTTGTGGTCTAATGTAAGAACAGGAGCTTCCCCAGCCTTATTCCCCCTTATCTACTTGTAGCTGGAACAGAGGAAGAGGAGCCTCTCTGTGTTCACCCCCTCATTAAACCTCTTCCTGTCCTTATAAGGCAGCTGGAGTTGAGACCCTTGCAGCCTCTGTCTCGCATCCTCTTATGGAGTTTCATCATGACTCTGTGTCCGCATGTGAACGCTTCACAAACGTCACTCTAAAAAAAAAAAAAAAAAAAAAAATCTACCAGGTTTTCCCTGCAACCAGGTGACTAGATAGTGACAGACAGATGTTTTATTTCACTTCTTTCCCCCTGCAGGTCTTCTGTGCGACCTGCTGTGGTCGGACCCTGATAAGGACGTACAGGGCTGGGGGGAGAACGACCGTGGCGTCTCCTTTACATTCGGTGCCGACGTGGTCAGCAAGTTCCTCAACCGTCATGATTTGGACCTCATCTGTAGAGCTCACCAGGTACCACAGCTCCTTCCTACCAGCCATCCCCCCTCCCCCTTTGTAAAAGCCTTGGCTGATTCTTGTGTCTGACGCCCCCAGGTGGTAGAAGATGGGTATGAGTTCTTCGCCAAGCGGCAGCTGGTGACCCTGTTCTCAGCTCCCAACTACTGCGGGGAGTTTGACAACGCCGGTGGCATGATGAGCGTGGACGAAACCCTGATGTGCTCCTTCCAGGTCAGTTACCATAGTAACTGATCCAGGATCTTTTAGAACCCAGATTATCACGTGAATTGATTCTGACAGGAAGTTGTTGCTTAGTACAGAGGCTCCCAAGCCTTTCCACTCCATGCCCCCCCCCAAACAGCACTGGTATCTCATTTTTGTCACTATTCTATAATTATTATATTGTAGCATAAATTCAGCCTCATATGTTCTGGTTTTAGTTGACAAGGAATATTTAGGGTTTTTGCAGCGGAATCCTCCTCAGCTTTACTGTTCCTTCTGTTGCCATTCATAAAGATGAGCATTACAAAACACATTTCAGTAAGTTATTTTAACTTGTATTTTGCAATAATGATAGAAATTTCGACTAAATTTCTTCAATTAAATTTGTTTTGTTTTTACTTTTTCCATCACCTTCCCTCCAACTTTCTGAGCGCCCTCTGGTGGTCCCCTGAGTTTACTGCAGACCCCACTTTGACAAACACTGGTTTGGGGTTCCTTCACAAGCTTAAAATATGGAATTTTTTATGTGGATTTGGATCATTTTCCAAATCCACATAAGAATGGGAACATGAAAATTCAGAATATTTAGAAAACAAAATCTTCCTTTTCTATTCATTTAACAATTATACACAACTTGGTGTTGATTCATGTAGTGAAATCATAACAGAAAGCATATCATTCAGTGTGTTGTGTTGGCCACAGTGCTGTTAATGCAAATATCTGTCTTGTACCATATTAGATGTCGTGAAATTCAGATATGTTGCCGTGGAGATGTTTGACACTAACATTTATTTAAAACTCAAGAGTTCAGCTCATGTTTCCAGGTAGAGCTGTTGGTCCAGTAATTGATTTTTTTCTTCTTCTTCCTCCTCCTCCCAGATCCTGAAGCCGTCTGAGAAGAAGGCCAAGTACCAGTATGGAGGGATGAACTCCGGCCGACCCGTCACGCCGCCTCGCACAGCCCAACCCCCAAAGAAACGATGAAGATGGACAGACGGACAGAAAGATGACAAGATGATACGATTGTCTCCTTCTGGCTTTTCACATTAAAGAAGTAAAAGCAACACTTGGCAGAGAAGGAACCAGAACCCCTCATTTTAAAAAAACACACCCCACTCTCCAGAAACAACTTTTTTTTTTTTTTTCCATTTAATCTCTTGAACTGCTGTTGTACTCTTCTTCTTCTTGGTCTAAGCTCCTCTTTCTCATCCTCCCTCTGCATCTATGTAACATTTTTAAAAGGTGTTTCAATAAGACAACCAGTCATTCTGTAGCATATCTTTATATATATTTTTGTCCTCATTTTTTTGTTTTTTGTCTTAACAGAATGACAGCAGTTTTTAGTTTACCACATGTTCTTTCTCCCCTGCCTGTACAGACACCACAGGTATTAATGACGACTGCTGGGTTTTCAATAAATAATACAGGGAATAAATCCCATTCTGTGTGTCTTCCTTTTATCTCTACAGCTCATTTAAAGAATAAAGTCATCTGTAATTTAAAACTGAAACCTCCTGACATGTGAGTGGAACAGCCTGAAGACAAATATATTTATCTGAAACCAGTGATCAGTGAATGCTACATTTTAAGCCCTACAAACCACCCAAAACAAAAGGCTTTACACCCAGGCCTGTCACGATAAATCTTCCTGAACGATTAATTCTCAGATTATTGCAATTAAACGATAATATTGTTTGAAGACCTTTTTAAACTGATGTACTGGTAATTACAATAATGCAAGCACATCCTGACAAAAAGAAATGCACTTTACTTTCAAAAGAACAATTAACAGGTAAACAAAACATCCAAAAACAAAAAAAAAAAATGCACTGGAATAAAAACTAAAGATAAAACCAAAGTGGAAATAAAAACTACATTCAACCAAAAGAGAACAGATTACAAAGACTGTATACTATATTTCCCTTCAGTAATCATTGGATTTAGATAAAGATGGGCAAATTCAACTACCTGGTCCAATAGTTCACTCCTCCCTTATGCTAATGAAACGAGGAAGAGGGGTCAGTGGAGAGAACCGGAGGTGAGCCTTTTTTCGTTCAATGTCAGAAAAAGGAAGAAACGATAAAGCCGATAAATTAAAATGAGGTCGATCATTTTCATTTGTGATTGATTTATTGTAACGGACCAATTTATACCAAAGTTTAATTCACATTCAGATTGGTAACCTAGGCAACATGGGATTACAGATCTCAATAAGCCTCACAGTCATCTCACAATCACTTCAAAACATTTTTCCTTTCACTCAATCTTCCATTAATACGCTCAAGCATCAAGTCTGCCGTTTTTCCTGTCACCTATGTAGACCGGAACATTTCTGTATTAAATATTAGTCTCATGATATTCTAACATGAAGCGACTTTTGGGTTTTCATTAGTTCTGTGGATCAATATAATCTACATTCAGATTGGTGTGTAATTAATGTAAATTAGGTTTTTCGTTTTCTAATCTGAGGACTTCATTCTTCATTCAAACCTTGTCAAAAGTACTCAAAGGCATTAATAAAATATCTTTTATAAAATACATTTTTGTGCTATTGCAGAGATGCAATATTTAGTTATTTTTCTCTGCATTAGTCTAGGTAAATTTTCAATAAAATACTATTTAAAGTCATATCTTGTGTTGGAAAGGGATGTGTGAATCCTAAATCAAAAACTTAGTGTTTTGTATAGAAGGCCATTTCTGCCATAAAAGAAAAAAATAAATGTCCAACAAGAAGTTCTAATTTCACATTTTAAAGTCAGAACTATAAGATGCTGTAGAGAAACAGTGTGACCATCTCATAATTATGATTTTTGATGTCAAAATTATGACTTTCCTTTCATGGCAGGAATGTACTTCCATAGAGGTCCAAATTTGAAAAATCTAGAGAACATTTAGTATTTTCTCAGCAATAAGAGCAGGATTTGGGTCACACTCTTTGTAAACAATGCATTTAGCCAATTTTAATAAAACTACTAAAGATTTTGGTGCACCAAAGTCTGTTTTTTGATGAAAATCAACACGACTTAAGTAGAGCAAATATTTTCCTTTAAGATTTTAATTTTTATTACTTCACTCTAATCCTTTATAAACCAGCAGACATCACAGAATTACAGGATTCATTTATTGACAGGAACAATGAAAATATTCCCTTTGCTGAAACTGGTTTCTACTGTGAACGGCACAATGGATCACTACATGGTCATTTGGTTGGAACTGAAAACATCAGGGTGCCTTCTGTTGCTATGGATACAGATGGTATACGAAAACATTTTGCTTGTACAGTCTCATGTCATCTCCAAAGTGGGAACCGGAACATACTCCAGGTCGTGCGTTAAGGCAACAGAATCCTAAACTCCTCCAGAACATTCAAGTCTCTAAGAATCCATCGGTTCTGAAGGAACTGGATGTCATGCATTAGTCTTCATCTAACTGCAGTGAAGTTCTGCCGTCTCCTCACTGTGTTGTTGGTCCATTTTACAGTAAATGGAAGTTCAGCATAAATCACAAAAATCAGACACTTTCAAGGCTTTTTGTTTGCTTTTCTTCTGATCCCATTGTAAAGAAAATGTGTTGAAGCAACAGCTGCCACATTGTTGACATAAACAGGAACATAAACACACTGAAAATTATTTTTAGTGGTAAACAAACAAAACACTCCAGCGGTGTCAAAATGAGAAATAAAACATCATGAGTCGGCACACACTGTAAAGCACACAGAGTTCATCTGCCACTGAAACAACTGGTAGCAGGTGTTTCTATAACGGACTGGGAAAATAAAACCAATTCTTTTTACTCCGACTGAAAACCGTCTCGTTCCAAAGGTTAAAAAAGTATTTTATTTTCAATACTTTAAGAAAAAACTAAAATAGATTCCATAATTCTTTTTTTCTTTTTTTTTTCAGATGATGTGGAATCTCTAGATAAAACCCAAATGTTAGTTAAGCAGTTAAAAAGTTCAGATTTCAGACTTAAATGTTAAATAAATAAATAAATAAAATTGGGGAATTTGAATACGGAAAAACTGTTATTTATTTTTTTAAAGTTTGAAACTAAATGCGTAGGAACCGTCTGCTGCTTGGTCTTTACTCAGGAAATAAGCAAAGCTTCTGATCACATGGAGCCATGGGAACCAGCAGACTGGGAAAGAATGTTGGAACACAAAAAAATGGCACCTCACCAGTAAAATTTGATGAGGAAATAAACTCATAGATAAACAATGCTGGTACTGATTAGTCAATATGGCAACATGCCTCACAATAAACATTTTAGCCACCAGATGGCAGGATTTACCATCAAATTAGCTTGTACTGCTTAGAAATCGTTTTTTGTTTCGTTCAGCTTTACTTCCTGTTACAAAACAACAATGTACAAATAAAAAAATAGAAAAATATTTGTCTCAAAACAAACAACTACAAGCGATGAAAACCCATAAAACTGACGTGGTTTCAGAATGATCTACGGATTGTTCTCAATCGAACGTCTTGAAATGTTTCTCTGTTCCACTTACCAGCTGAACTTAATATGAAACTAATGGATTTGTTTTTAAACAGGAAACTGACAGCCACTCCTTTCAGGAGTGTGGTGATAGTTTTACCGTGCCGTTTCTATGGGAACTACACCAGACTCCTGAGGAGGAAGGACAGGGCGGCCCCGACGGACAGACCCAGGGCCAGGAAGAAGGTCATCAGGGCTCCTGCAGTCTCTGCATCTTTAGGCTCCACCAGTCTGGAGAAACACAACAGAACCAGTTGATTTTAGTCGCTAGTCACTAAAGACTATGTTGTTCAGTGTTAACATAACTAAAATACACATAAGTTTTCAGTTATGTTACACAGAAAAAGATTTTTCATTCAGTAGCATCAGAACAATAGTTGTGTTTGGGAACTAGAGGAGATTTTAGGGTTTAAGTTTTCCTGCCTTCTTGAAAATTATCAACCATCTTTGTTTTTGCTTCTTTGTCCCTTTATTGTTTGAGCTAATCAAATAAATCTTAATATCAGACAGAATTAACCTTATAAAGAGGAGTCCTCAAATGATAACTGCCTTGTTGAATCATGAATCAGCTGCAACATTCCCAAGTTGCATCCAGACCTGATTAGTCAGACCATCATGCACACACAGAACCTGTCTGACTGCTTAAAGTTCAAATGTTTTTGTTTTTTTTAGATGAGGCAATAAGTAAATTCCAGAACAGGTGAGAAACAGAGTTGATCTGAATGAGACAAAAAATGATATGGCCTCGTCAAAGTGTGGATTTACTTTGGTCTGAGATGCTGAGTTATGACCTTTGAAGAGGTCAACCAAGCTCAGAAATGTGAGCCGAAATGGCGACTTAAATGATGAGATGACTAAAATATCCAACAGCAAGAACCAGATTTGGGTCACTCTCTCTTCAGAAAGGCTCTCTGTATTTAACCAGGTTTAAAATAATTATAAGCAGATTTTTTTTAAAGTCTGTTTGAGTGGATGTCAGTCGATAAATGCGGTTCTATATTTTACGAAATTCAAGAGAAAGCAAGAAGCGTAGCTGTGAAAAGACAAACACTTTGTGTTGTACTTAATATTTTGCATTGTAGAAAAATGAAGACTTATTGTAGAAAAACAATTAAATTGAATTGTAAAAAAAAGTGGACCACAGAATCAGTGAAGAAACCACAAATGGCCCACGCACCACACTTTGGACACCCCTGCTTTCATATGTAGTCAGCTCATTTTTGTTTGATAGTAAAATTAGCTTGAAGATCTTAAATATTAAAGAGTGGCAAACAAAAAGAAAAGCAGAAAACTGAAGAAATCTGGAAAGGAACAAATCCTTTCCATTCGCACTGTATATCACCATGGCGACCCATTCGCACTGTATATCACCATGGCGACCCAGGAACGTCAATCACAATTACAGCAACAATGGCTGCAGATCATTTCCCTCCAGATTTATCTCCAGTTTAGCTGACAGCTGAGCAGCTGGTGGAGTTGTGAACCAAGTGGGACAGAGTTCAGGGGTCAGAGGTCAGCAGCTTGCTGCGGTGTACTCACTGCGGCGCGTAGGACATGGAGAGGCACACAAAGTAACCGCTGGACAGGGAGAAGAGCGCCATGATGACGGTGAAGATGGCGTCGTGAGAGAAGGCCACGGGCAGGTAGTAGCGCTTCTGAACGTTACAGAGCATCAGCAGGGGGATGAAGATCACCCTGGAGACCACCAGGGCCGGGAACACACGCGACTCTTTACCAGGCTGCAGGGGAGAGAGGAAATGTTTATTTCACATTATAATCCTCCCACAGGGGGATTCCTCTGGCATTTTGAAACCAAGTCTATCTCATGCATGACGGAGGGCCAATAAAGGCGTTACTAATCTCTTAAACTCTGATGCAATTTGTTCAGCCATGTTCTCTTCTTTTGGTTCTAGTGGTCTTTATTTGAAAGTGTTAATACAGGAAAGTATGTAAAGAGAGAGAGAGGAGACATGCGGCAAAGGTCACCAGGCCGGGAATCGAACCAGCGACGGACACGTCGAGGACTGAGGCCTCCTTATGTGTTCTGTGCTTAACCTTTGCGCCACCACAGCACATCCAGACTGATAAACCATCACAGATTAAACTACACACAGCTGGGCCGGCTGCATTAAATATTGCCACTTTTCTCATTTATAAGAAATAAAAATGATGCATTATTTTCCTTCGTGTAAGTCTCAGAACGTTTGCTTCACTACATAAACATGCTAGAACATCTGATTCTTATTTTTTACGTTTGTCTGTACAGCATCGTGTTTGAATTTATAAAGAAAATGGGAGGAAAAAATACTGGCTAAAACTGGTTGAACATATTGATCATATCAAAAAAGCAGGAAAGTTTTATAATTTCAAACAAAGATGACTATTTAGACCCTCTAAAAAGAAAAATAAACTGTCAGTAAGCTAAAAAAAAGAAACAGATGTCTAATAAAATATTGTGAGCTGTCAGTATTCAAACCCCATGCAAATGCTATTTACAGTCTTCTCTTTTAGCACACTGTAAAAACAAATATACATATTACAGAAAGAAGAAGGTAGTAAAATAAACAAATACAGTGAGACCAGCTGAAGCAGGTTGGCTAAGATCAGAGTCATTCTTGTTTTCTAGGGAAGCCAGTCAGGTTCTCACCCAGCGTATCCATGTGGTCACGGTCCGGCCAATCCAGTCGTGAATGTTGAAAACCAGGAAGCAACACACCTCGATGAAGATGTGTCCTGAGAGGAGCGACAATTTAATATGAGTAAAACGACGATATGCCGGCTCCATGTTGAACACAGATCTTCTCTGAATCGGCGCTGCTCACTCTTACCCCATTTTCCATGTGGGAATGCTGTTTTGACGTCAACAGTGACGGCGGGGAATACCGACAGAGTGACGGTGAACACAAACGTCACGCAGAATGCCATCACCCAAATCTGAGATGTATATAAAAAAATGGTTTGTATGTTTAAAGAAGCAGCAGAGAGAAAACAGGAGTTTTTTTTTGTTTTTGCCCAGAATTTCATCCCGTACCTTTTTAAACACCTCCAACACCGAGGCTTTTTCTGCAGAGCTGTCGGCCTGCCTGCTCCTGTCTGGACTGGTTTCCAGCTTGGCCTCGTCCTGACCGCTGCTGTCGAGGGCTATGCTGGCCACCGCACCGTTAGCGTGGCCGTTTAGCTTCCCGTTCTCCAGAGGGGTTCCATCTGCAGTTCAGAGCATTCTGGTCAAGATTTTCGTTCTGCTTATAGCTGTAACCAACAGTGCATTCACACCAGTCCTGTCTGTCTCAGTTTGGTTGAAGTGAACTCTGGTGTGGTCCGAGTGCATATGTGAACGCCAAGCGGACTGGAGACCGCTCCAAAAGCAGGAAGAGGACTACAGTGCAGGGCATTCTGGGTAAATACAACCAAAATAAACATGTTAATTTATCGCTAGCAGAAGAAATGACTTGTGGATTTTTACCAAACACAAAAGAGAAAATCTACAACTGCTAAAATCTGACACCACTTCATTTTATGAAGAAGGAAGTTGCTCCAAGTGTCTTCAGAGGTTTTCATGTCATTTCTTCCAGTGGTTCTTGGTGCAGCGCCACCACAGGCCAGGAGGTGAACAAGTTTTTCATACGTTTTTGTTGCAATGAAAGAAAACCACAACAGCAGAAAATGTAACAAAAGTTGCAATCTTGCCCCCCCCCCTACCATCAGGTGTGAAAACATCATAATTCTCCAAAACACTGACTCAGCCAGCTGAATAAAAAACACACACACACACGCCTACATTATTTTAGAGGTTTAAATTTGAAATAATGTGAAGTTTTCCTTTCACTTCACCTTGTGTTGGTAAATATATTTTAGTGACATAAAATGTCACTAAAATATATTTAAGTTTCTGGTTGTAAGGAAATAAAATGTGAAAAAGTTCTGTTTTCATACAGACCAGTTGGGTTTATCAAATCCTTTATATCTTGTGTCTAATTCGTGTCAGTGGAGGCACCTCAGGGCTAGAAGCTGAATGGAAAATGTGAGTGACTGAGTGAGTGTGTGTGACCTCTAACAGAGTCATCTTTGTCTGGCTTTTAACTGGATAAACGGAGAGTCAACAAACCTAATTAAATCATGTTCCAGTGAATTGATTTGATTCAGTCACACTGTGAAGCAACACATTTATTATCCCATCTCTGCTCGGCCTAAACAAAGTCTCACCAGTCAGCAGCTTGTCCGTTGTGCCTTCTTCATACTTGCTGCTTCTGTTCAGGTAAAACTGAGCAAACTCCTGCAGAGAAACAACAACAATGGAATCTCAAGCAAGTCCAGACAGCACTATAAAAACAACGCAGAACTGAATTAGTCAGGCAGACGAAGCAGCTTTTACTGTCATAAAATAACAACTTAAAGGTTATTTAAGTTGTTATTTATTAAGTTACTGTACTGACCAGGCGCGGCAGCAGCAGGTAGCTCAACAGGGTGACCAGAGTCCCCACACATGGCGTGATGAAGTAACCCAAAGCTGCAGACTCAGAGTCTGCATCGCCTGCATCACAACGGGGAACAGAACCAGACTCGGCATGAAATACGTTCTTTGAAATAAACTGATTTTAATCAGGGTTTGTAGGCTTTTCCCCAAACATTTTCAAGGTAAGTTTTCAAACTTTGGAGATGAAAACTATACAAATGAACTAAAAGAAAAAAAAAAGACAGTTTCAGTTCACTATTATGCAATATCATTTATTAGATATTAATAATATATTGTGAGTATTCTATGTTCTACAGCAGAGGTAAGGTAAACTAAAATATATTTAAAAAATGTATATCTCTCTCACAGACACCTGACTGGTTTGAGAAACAGACTATTTCACAAAAAGAAATTTTACCAAGTATCTGTGGCCTGGTTCCTAGAAGAACTAGAAACAAGACAAAACTAACTTACAATAATTAATAATTAATTAATATTGATTTTTAAAAATATAATCAAGTCATTTTTCTTATAATTTAAAGTGTCTAGTTCCACCGGCAGATTATTTCACTTATAACTAGTTCTTTTCCATCAATATTAAAGAATTATTGACTCAAAACAAGCTCCCATATTTAGCTAAAAAGTTACTCATAAGTTAGTTTTGTCTTATTTGAAGTGTATTAAAATATTTGCACTAGAAACTAGACTGGAAATACTTGGTAAGATTTTGTGTTTTTGCAGAGTGAAACAAGATTTGTTTAGTCTGATTTAACTTCAGTGTGTAAAAAAATGTGCCTTTTTATTTATGCATGAAAATAATCAGGTTACAACTGTAAATAACGTTTTTCAAATTCAGTTTTTTAATCAAACGTTTGATTGACTTTATTACAAAACTGTGCAGTGTAAACATCAAGCACCTAAAACACCTAAATGAAAGCGCCCATTTGTAGCAGTTCTACTGCGTTGCTAGGCAACCGCGTGGTGTTCTGAGTTATGTGCTTGCGTGTGGGGGCGGCTCACTGGCTTTGGCGAGCAGCATTGCGATGGCGGCGAAGGTCCCGGCGAGGCCCTGGCCGCTCATGAAGACGGTGCTGTACTTCTGCGGCAGCAGGCCGACCAGGCCGAACAGGCTGCCCTGCAGCACGGCGCCGAACGCTGCGGAGCGGTAACACCATCACAACACGAACAAAAAAAAAACCAAAAAAAAAACAACAGATGCTTCTAGACACCTCCAGACAAAGAAACTCACAGTTAATGAACCAGATGGTCGCCATGGTGACGGAGAAGAAGAGACCCTCATGCATCTCCACTTTCACCAGGACTGCGGTGAGGATGAAGAGCAGCAGGATGAAGACGAGGCTGCCTGCGATGCGAATGGCCTCGGATATCCTGGAACAGAAAACGTTTTGGCGATCGGGTCGCACCAGGATGGACAGGTCACCCCTGGGGCGGCGCCGCCTGTTAGCACTGACCTCTGGTACATGAAGGAGTTGAGCAGGGTGAAGACCAGCAGGGGCAGCTGGGACAGAAAGGTCATCCAGTTGTTGAAGTGATACTCCTTCCTGACCACCGTCTCGTTCCCCGTCTCCGTGTTGTTCAGGCGGCTTTGGAAGTACTGCCAACAGAGAGCAGGAGTCAAATCTGACCATTTATTTAAACTCGACATGTGGAAACAGAGCTGGACTTTGATCTAAATCATTCTGTTGTACCTCTAGCTTGATACTGAAAGTTGTTCTGCTACTGGAAGGTGAAACTCTGATCCAAAACCAATTTTTTTTAGCAGGTTTTCCTCCAGTATTCTATTCAAAAATACTTTATTTAAAAATACTTGAGTTTTGAATGGAAATCAAATCCAACTCAAATCGTCCAAGTATATTCAAAGAGTCATTGTGGATGAAAGGATCTCCACAAGCAGTCAGTGTTGCAGTGAATGTAAAAGAGCCTCTGACCGGAGACTGCTGCTGTATACAGTGGCGCAACTGCACATTATTCAGGTGGATGCAAAAACATAAATGCCATTTGTTCTCTAATCAATTAATAATTAACTTACCTATGTGAACTTTTAACTAATGAGGTAAAACTGAAAACAAAAGGTTGAAACTGGATATTATTTTGGGTTAGCAAAAGACGCTCATTACTCCTTTCAGTTTGCATTGGTAAAACAGGAAGAAAAGCATGCCTCCTTTTCCCTTTCCCTTGGTCATGCACGTCGTCAACAGACTGTTTTGTTCTGACTCTTTTCCATCAAGAGACATTTTGTTCGAGATATGCTAAAAAAAAAAAAAAAGTTTGGAATGTAACCAGAAATGCCTCTTGTGTCGTAGGAGTCATTTTCCAAAGTCATGTCTTTAGAACAGTCAGACGACCCGTTTGATAGCAGAGTTATGGCGACATTGTTACCATCAGTTTAAAATGTAGCCAGCCTCTCATTCTTTCCAGTCATTAACTGAAGCTGTTTGACTTTTAGAGCCTCTGCTGCTTATCGTTTTCTAAACTCGACTCCTGACAGCCAGTTTTCTGATGTAGAACTTACAGGTTGATGCTGATCATTTTGATTGAGGACAGAGTCATTTACAGCTTGCTTTACAACACATTTCCTGTTCTAGAGATCCCTCTCCTTCCATTTTCTCAAAGTAAAACGCTGTTGGACCCACATCCTGTTTTTCTATGGAAACCGTTTCACTTCTTCTTACCAGTGAGGCAGTCATGAAGAAATTCCATGGCAACAGCGTTCCCAGGCCTAGAATGAAGAAAAAGATTCCCACCAAGCAGAACCTAGGGATTATGGGAGGAAACGGGGACAGTGGGAGAAAGAAGAGAGAAAGATAGATGGATGTACAAACCAGAAGTTTCAGCAACAGACTCCATGTTGGTTTTATGAATAAGATGAAGCGACAGTTTGGTGTTTCACTCACCGGTCCTGTGGAGTGTCGGTTCGGCCTGTCATAGTGATGTTTGGAGTTTCTGCTGAAATTAAATAAAACAAACATCACAATCTGTGAAATTCTGAATATTATAACAAAGTATTTATAGATTTCAAGGTTGAAATCTATTACCACTGAATGTTTGTTAAAAAAAAGGTACATATTTAGTCACTTAGTCATAAAGTCATCAAGATGTTTTCTGTTCAGTTACAGGCTGCTATACACCAACTTTTTTTCTTAGGTTCGCCCAAATTTTTTAACACATTATTTCTGGTACTTAACTCACATCATGTTATAGATGTTTTTTACATTTATTGGTCTTGCTTCATTCATGTGATTTTAATGCATTTATTACTGAAGATTTCATAAATACAATGCAACATCAGGACTGACCAACAGACCCGCCTACCGCGTCTGAACATGAGTGGTTAATGATGGTCACCCCACTGTGACTTAGTGACTTTTTCAACAAAAACAAACAAACAAAAAAACTGGCATCGGCGAAGATCACAATCAGCACCAGCCAAAAAACTGCAATCCGTGCATTTCTAAACAACATGGTTTACCCATTTCTCAAATTGTCAGAATAAATGGTTTTGTGTCCTACACTGTACATTTTTCTACTTTATTTACATCTATGTCTGTTTTTCTACATTCCTGATCATCATATTTTATTCCAATCATCAAATCAAGTATCATTACTTTCTTCTTGTTGATTGTTTCAAAGCTATGTGAAACACTTTGTTACGTCTGATTGTAACAAAGTAACATATAAATGAAATCGACAGAGCAGAATCCCACTAACATCAGGAGTGAATATGTCCTCCAGTTGAAAGAGGAAACGGACCGAAGGTTCAATAACTTCCTGATTTTTGTCCGATTTTCACAGAATCATCTGTTCTTTTCTCATTTGTCAGCATTTAGTTTTCCTGTTTTTAACCAACGAAAGTGCAGAAGTCACAGTCATGGAAAAGTAAACACACGTCTCCACCATTCAAACACCACAATGCAGTACGCACGTATGCACTTCAAATGACCTTGGGACTATTCACAAAGAACCTGAATGTTTAATCACAGTAACTCACATTAGCTTCCCTTTTCCAGGAAGTAGTCAGTACCAGGAAATAGGTTTTTTCAGAACTCATAACTTTAGTTCACAGCATGTAAGATAAAGTCAAGTAGAACTAATTAAAATGAGCTCGTAAATTATGAACCAGGGAAAAACAAAGGTGATAAAAACTCCTGGTGTTCTAATAAAACGTAAAGGCAAAGCTCAGAAAGTCGCCGCCTCCGGCTTTAATACTCCCCAAAGCTTTGTCCTTCTGGAGCCAATGACAGAGAAATCCCACAGGGGATTAATGATACACTGTTCTAGCAGGGGGACGGACAGGCAGCCGTTTGTGTCTTTCAGGGACAAACCGCCTCAAAGGAGACAGTCTGAAGGCCTCCAAACCCTTTAATAGCTGCTTGGAACGCTTCCGGTCCCTTCTAAAAACCAACTCTTCTGACCTACATTATCTACATGTTTTAGTACAAACAGTCAGAACAAAGCAGAATTAATTATGTATTTTAAGCAGAATATGACAAACTATGAAATTCATTTGATACCTCCACCCCAAAACTTCAATTTTTCTGTTTTCATTTTTCTGAATTCCATTTTAGATTTATGAACCCAAACAGTATGTAATAATGATGTGAATGACTAAAAATGAAGAAGTGAATAGCAAGAAGTCAACATTTATTGTTATTCTGTTTCACAACCAAACAAACTGCTGTAGTTCATCAGAACTTAAAAAAAGAAAAAAATAATTGTGCCGTGAGAGGAGAAAGTGAGTAAAACAGCTAGAGAGGAAGTTAAGGATAAAGCAGAAAAAGTAACATTTGGCAGCATTTCAGATTTTTAAAACAAAAATCTAATCTATAATTATCAATATTGACAATTATGGATAATCATAGCCATATCGCCCGGAGCTACAGAATATCCTGCCCATCTCATCAATATCACCCAGTAATGCAAAAATCCGCATTTTATTGTGAATTTCATTTTATTTATTCCGACTGACCTGTCTGCATCAGACATCATAGGATCCTACAACCTGCTGGATTTCAAGCTGACAATCTCAAGATCAGCTGAACAAACTCTCACTATCCATATTTGAATGAATTCTTTTCTCCCCTCATACAAATGTTTTTCCTCTCAATTTAAAAAACAAAAACCCCTGAGATTTCAGGCTGAATATTCAATGAGTGTGAGAACCTCTCTGGTTATTTACTTGTCTCTTTTTCTGCTCTTAGCAACAGTGACAACATTACCTGAGTTTGTCCTGGTTTTTGACCTCAAACCACTAACTTTCACCCAGTTAGCTTCTGTTGTTACATGAAGCAAATAAAAAGATTAAGATGATCCCTTAATAAATCTGGACGAGATCCTCCCACATTTACCTTAAGATGCCACACAGAACAAGTGGGATCTTGTTTCATGCCAGCACAGCTCTTCTCTTCACACAAGCACGGATAAAAAGCTTACAGTTTATTTCAAAGGATCACATTCGGGCTTTGAAATCCTCCTACATTCATAATATTTTATATAACATATTTTACATGTAGCGTCTAAAATCTAGGACTGCAAGTTAAAATGAGAAACTTCCATATTATAATGAGATATTCTCTCATTCAAACACATTTATTTTCTTGCATAGACAAGAAAGGTCACAACAGTAACGTCAAAACAAAGTATCTGGTGAGAAAACCGAGTCAGAGGTCGCACTACACTTTTTTGTTGTCCGTCATTTTGACTGACGGCGTCAGAAGTACTCCGTCACATTCTATTTTTATCTGTCAATTTTTATATTATGTCAACATGGGCTATTCTGTCGCATTTAATATTCAACAAGTTGAACAGACAATCCAGACCTTATCACACATTAATCAAGCAGATGAAGATAACCAACTTTTTCTCCGCAGTGATAAAAAAAACAGACTGAACAATTATCTGAACCGACTCCATATAAATAATAAGCGTTTCACCTGCTGGGGTCTGAGCACGCAGCCTCACAACTTCGTCCTGGTTCGCATCTACAGGAGAAACCTGCACTAAAGTTTAGATCGGACCCGACCCGACCCGGACCGAGTCGTTAGACATTATGTCTGAGCCCAACCCAACTTTAATCAGAGGAGGAAGCCTGAAGTAAACCTGTCCCAACGTATTCATTTAATTAAGATTTTATTGCTGGGTTTTCAGAGCACCATTTTAATAATGCTGCTCTATTGTTCAAATGGTGCTCTGAAAACATCACTTGTTTAACGTCTTCCAGTTCCAGTTTGTCATTTGTTGTTAAAAAAAAAAAAGTAATAATAAGACAGTCAAAGACAGAAAATATTCCAATCCCTGTAATAAGTTGTCACAATTTGTCAGAGGGACATATTTTTACAAGAAACTATCATTTTAAAGAGACATTGCACCTGTATTTATTTCCTTGCTCATCAGTCAAACCCTTCCATAATAATAACTTAGCAACTAAATCTATCTGGATACAGCTCTGTTATAAAAAAAAACAACATACTTATTAGATTACATTTATCCATTTGTATCAACACATTTAAATGAGTTTTGCAGCATTAAGGAAACTGGTGCATTTCTATCTTAAATATTAAATGTTCCCATGGATACCATGATATCTTGAAACTGTCATGATTTCCCAACATCATCACACTCATCAGGTTCCATGTCATGTCAGCTACGACACAGACATGTTGCTTGCAGTTTTACAACAGACAATAGTTTCAAGCTTTAACAGTTTTCACGGTTTTGAACCCGTGATGAGATAAAAATCTCAGAGCGCATTAATTTGTCTGCATTAAGTTTCATAAAAGTTGTTTCATCAGAAACATCCAGATGTGAACCAAAAGTTCAGATGTTTCACCGATCATTAAGATGCTTTGTTGCTATTAATACAATGATGCTAAACTGTAGAATAAACTTTATTTTAAAGTGAAAGAGTAATACTGAAGTTCCCATCTAATGATGGATCAATGAGATAGTTACAGTATGACTGCAAAAAGATTATCTGTAACTAGGAGTGCTAAAGAAACTTAATATCATGCGTCATGACAAACCAGTCCAACATCTTTATCCAACAAAAAACGTGTCATTGAGGAGACACATGCTCATGTTAACAGTTTAAAATAGGCTAACGGGGCCCATAAGTTTTTGTGGGTTCAAAGATTTAGGATATGTTTGTAATGGATGCATGCTTTCATTTGGAAATTCTGATTTTATAGTTCATTTTGGGGACCAACATGGAGTTATCTCACAAGAGATGTTTTAAACTTGTTGATGTGTAGGCCTGCCTATTAACGTACTGTAATTTGTGTGAGTAAAATGCTTTATTCTTTTTTCTCTCTCTCTCTAATGGGGAACCAAAACTGGCTCTAGCCCGCCCAGAGGCCCTTTTTTCTAAATACGCCCTTATGCGCACCTGTTCGGCTAATTTAAGAAAGTAACATTATCAACTTCATCCACAAAATAATAAATTGGATGTTAATGTTAATTCATCATAAATATATTAATATCCGTCAGTTCAAACACATAATAATGAGATTCATAACAGAGGGAACCTAAGCCGTGAGATGTTTCATCACCCAGACCACAGGAAACTAAATAACTAACTAATTTGACAATTTATTTAATATTTCTAATTAAAACTTAGGAGTTTAGCAGTAGCTCGGGCTCATGTTTGCACGCCACTCTTAGCTAACATGATGCCGAAGTGTCAGAGAGACTCACCTTGGGGAAATGTTCCCGTTACTATGTCTCTAAAATGTTCCCGCCGTTCATCGCGAGCTGTTTACTATCTACACGGTCTGATGCGACTGAGTAGAAAATAAAACTATAAACTCTGTTTCTGTCTAAACACGTGGCGGACAAACTGCGGCAGAATAAAACGCAGACTCCATTAACAGCGCCGTCGTGTCAGCTAACTCCTCCCCACTTAATGGGGAAAAAAAATCACTTCCGTCTGGCGGTCGATTCACACAAAGCCTCGAGCACAGGACATTCAGTTCTACCTCCACTGTAAACCAGCTAGGTCGGTCGAACCTATTCTGTTCGTCACAGGAGAAAACCATAAAGCTCCGAATATTCCACGTCAGACATGTGAGGGAGGCACCGCTCTTCAGAATTAATTTATTAAATGTCAGAATCTAATGGTCAAACTGTGAGTTTATTCTTTTGAAAATCTACAGAGTTCCAGTTCCGGTTGTAGTTTAGGGGTTCGTCAGTACCGCACATGAATGTACGATTATCAGGTGAAATAAGAGTTTTTTGTTTTCATCAACTTTGTCGTTAAAAAGATGTCAGTCTAATGTTTCATCATATCAACAATTGAGGAAAAACAACAAATCCCTAATAATCTCTATAGCATTTTCTTCTATCTGAATTTGGTCTTATTATAAATTATTTTTCCTTGCAAGGTCTCCTCAGAATTTTTCTTTGTTGCTCATTGTCAAATTAATATAGATTTCTTAAAATTACTCAAATAACAGCATGTCGGTGGAAAGATTTTCTGCTATGTGAATTTATCTCTATCATATTTCTGTGCGGGGATTGCTCATGGAACATTGCGATGGCGCAGAGGGTTACACTAAAATATGCTCCATGGGAAAAGAGAAACTCAAGGATAAACTGTTTCCATCATAAAACAGAAATCCTGGTTTTCTGCGCCCCCTGCTGGTGGAGCTAGCAGCTACAACAAATGAGAGTAAATCTCCAGACAGTACAGATGCTAATTTACCTACGCATCTCCATGCTTCACGAAAGTTTAAAGCCCAACTGCCTTGTTACAAAGTCATTTTGCTGAACCGTCTTCCCCTTAACTTGTGGTAAATGCGTCATCATTCAAATTCAAAATATTTTACCACAGATAACAAGTAGGGGTGCACCGATTGCAGAAACAACATTGAAACAATATCAGGCAGAGACATTGAACCTACGTTGAAGCCTGGCATTGAAACGGAATTGAAAGTGGTCGGTGACTTGCATGTTGAATCAACGTTAGGGTTTCAACCATATCTGACACTATATCAACATTGACTCAACCATCATCTGTATGTCAATTTGCATGCAGATTTGTGTTGATTTTACATTGAATCAATATTGATTCAACAATCATTTGAATGTGGATCTTCATACACATTTGTGTTGACTTTATATTGAATCAATGTTGATTCAACCATCATCTGAATGTGGATCTACATGCAGATTTCTGGGGGCAAGTAGGGGGAGATGAGGAGGAGGTGAGAAGGAACAACAAACAACATACTTGGATTCAAAATTGATTAGACACCGGTCCTCAAGGAAAGCTGACCTGCATGTTTTCAGTTCAGCAAAACCCTGTCAATCAGCCATCCGTTAAAATCATATGTGCTTGTTTGATGGTTTATCCACCATCTGTCATCAACCTTTGTGATCATAATTCAACATTGAATTAACATCTTTTGCAAACAAGCCAACAGCAAAGTGGGTGTGTGGTTGGGACATCCCACTCATGTAAATAGTGGGGGTGGACCGCTTCACTCCTTGTAGTAAGTTATAGATGTTTTTGTGTCAATATCACACACAAACAGTCAGTAAGAATTTTTATGGACAAGTAAGAAAATGTACAGAAAGGAATCACCACCGACTATCCTCTACAGTGCTTAATTTAAAATGTGATAACCCCCGATCACTGATAAAATGCTTTCACCCGATGAGGAGGAGAGGGGGATGGGTGTGGCAAATCAGCTGACATTGATTCAACATTGATCAGACATTGATCAGACATCGGCACTTCATTCATTAGAGTTCAACCACAAAACAACATTGATTCAATGACACATTTTCAACAATTGGTTACTTGGCTAGAATTGGATGGTGGTTTGATGGTTCGACCTCAACCAAAAATCAACCATTCTGACTATAATTCAACATTGAATTACCATCGTGTGCTATCTGGGGATCTTTTAAAAAGCTTAACTGAACAATTCTGATTTTGGCCGATAATAGTTTTTTGTCTAAAATGTTGCTCAATATATTAAGAAAGTTTCTGAACTGGCAACAATGGAGTGACTATTGTTAAGTGTAAATGTCCAGGCATGACCCGGTCGGCCGGTTTGCCAGTCAAGCCTCTCTCACAAGAGAAAAGAAAAGAAAAGCACAGTGGTTGATTTTTAGAGCGTTGCTGAGGATGATAACATTGGTGAATAAAAGCTCGGCTTCATACGTGAAGACATTTTATTTTCACAGATAACATTTTATTCCTTTTATCTGTACATAT